ATTTTTTTATAGAAAGTTAGGGCTTATTGTAGAACAGGCCAATATCAACGAGGTGAGGTATGCATGTAGTGTACATATGTACCAGTGTATTAATGAATTATGAATGTATGACTCCAATCTTGCCCTAATCATTTATACAATCAGGCCTTAAAATATCGGTCGGTCACAGACATTGTCCGACCCATTTGTGAAATTGTCCGATGTAGAGAGGAAACCACCGGACATTCTGTCCGACCAAAGTGAAACCGAGGTTTATTGTTTGTCCGACCCAAGTAAATTGGTGTCCGTTAAAGAACTCCTAGTTCACTAATCAACTTTTGCTAGCATAGATTATACAGTACTTTAACATAAACAGTGATTAGGAAATTATAAAATTTGCTAAAATATAAGTGATGAATTAATATAAAGCTATGATTTGCATAAATCCACACTAGCCTTACAGTCCAGTCTCTTTTCTTTCATTTTTAAATTATGTAGGTAACCCTTCTTCTTGGCAATAGCTTGGCTTCCTTTCAAGCTTTCATCATTGCTCCAACATCGAAGCACTGTCTCTTAGCAGACATGTCTGACAAGGCTGACAAGCTGATCAAATTTACAGACAAAAACACAACAAACTACAAAAACAAAAAACATACGATTGTCATATGATTACCGAAGCACATTTTAAAAGTATGTACACAGAGAACAAAAATAAACAGCCAAAGAAAAAACAAGCCTCAATATACAAATGAACAAAAAAATATTCGAATTATTCACATCATATCACATCAAAATTCTTGGAAAACCATTACTTTGGTTGTACAGACTAAATACAACTGCTGTATACAGTATGCGCTTCTTTTCCGTTTAGATAAGTATATACTGTTACACAAGGACTTTATTAAGAAAGTAGATTGACTAACCTGTTTGCACACTCAAGCGGAATTAGTTTCTGCGTCTCCCATGGACAAGTTGGTAGTTCTCCTTCTCATGTTGTCATATAGTTCCTGCATCAGTTCACCTGGTTTAGGCATGGCCTCAGAACTTTTAAGTTTTGTAACAAGTTTCTCAGACAACTGCTTTTTGTTTCCAGATATGTCAAGGTCATATCCCATCATGATGAATTTAATATCCATGGCTGATAATGAAACAAAGCTATGTTCGCCTTTGTAGACAATAGCTTTTAACAAGAAATGAGTTGCAGATTTTGGTACTGGTTCCGATATAATCCATGATATTGTAGGTATATTCCAATGACACATTTGGCCTTTTTGGATGCTTTGACTTGCAGCCTTTGCCTGAGTGCACTGGTTTGTTGAAGTTCATAATTTCGCTTAATTCTTCTTATTGTTTCCGCTGACATCATGTTTGAAAACCTGTAAATAATTCTTTTAAACAAATTATCATCATCACTATCTTCAAATTCAAAGTCTTCTTTGCCTAAAAGACCAAGTATGAAATTGTTTTTATATATTCTTGGATTTCATTAAGCGTACGTTATACCGCAGTATCTATTGAATTAAGTGGGGGTCAACCTCAAATATATCAAATCTTGATGCTGCACACGAGAGTGAGCAAAAATGGTAAGTGTACATATTTGCTACAAAACACAAGGCCAACACATCTCAATTTAGAGTGACCACAACTGACGTCATATAAAATTTAGAGTGCTTATGACACAAAATTTCACCCTAAATGTTTATGATTGCATTGTAAAGATCACTTAAAATGACTTAATAATTTATTTTATAGAATTTTGGTAACTTGCTTCCTTTGCAGGATATTCAACTTTGTTTCATATGCAAATATCACCGGTGTGACATCACATCGCATAATGACATTTTGAAGATGCAATATTTTACCTTGATAAAATATTTTTACAAACAAATACAGAGGGTTAATTGCCAGTTATGAAATTAATACATACACAAGGGCAATTTTTAAGTTTTTTAGATACTATACTTTTCTAAAACTCATTATGTGATGTGATGTCACACTGGTGATATTTGCATGTGAAACAAAGTTGAATATCTTGAAAAGGGAGCAAGTTACCAAAATTCTATAAAAGAAATTATTAAGTCATTTTAAGTGATCTTTACAATGCAACCATAAACCTTTGGGGTGAAATTTTGTGTCATAGGCACTTTAATAAATACAGATATTAGTAAAAAATAGGTACGCAGTGTGTACATGTTGCATGCCATCAAAACCTCTGTGATCAAAACCTAGCTTGAAAACAGACCTATGTTTCGCCTGCCGGCGAAACGTAGGTCTGTTTTCAGGCTAATCAAAACCATGAACCTTATGACAAATAATTAATTGTGGTTTCAGCGTTATGATACCATATGTTCAACATCTTTGCGCTTTAGGCACAAACGCATGATGCAGCAGAGTACAAGTTGTTGATGCGCAACCTGCGCCATAGTCTCCGAGAAGACTCCAAATAGGAAGGAAATTTGAAGGGAAATTTCGTGATTTTGGCAAGGAAAATTAACGAAAAAAAGAAAATTTGATGCTCAAAAAGGGAAATTTCATTGAAGACTTATGTAATCACTGCTCAGCAAGTACCGTAAACAGAAGCAGTCACCCCCCTGGTTATGCGATAGCGCTTATAACTTTTGGTACAACTGGCCTGGAACTTAAAATATTGATTCAATAAGTTTAATATCAATATATTTATTGAAAAATAGCTATTATGTCAAAATAAGAAAACTTTAGATTCTCACGTGAATAGGCAATATGTTTTTATGCGCGACTATTCATCGTTAGTTGCAGGCGACGGTAATATAAACAAGGTCAAGGTTTTATCGAAAGCGATTGACTGTTAGATTTCCTTTACTATTTTATAATTAAATAATGTTATTTCCTACAAATTTAGCTTTATTGTAGCTTTATTGAAAGTGTAAAAAAAACATGGAAACGGTGAATTACTACAGATTGAAAATAATTATTAAACTATGATTGGGATTACTGACGTAGAATGCTATTTCATTGTAATTTCAATAGTACAAGTATTTATAATGAGAATTTTGTTTGATATTTTTAATATATTTCATGTTATTTACAAAATGTACTGTAGTTTTGAAGTTTTGCACACAATATAAAATGCGAACACATTAGCTCCATTTCAGTTTGAGCATTATACTTAATATTTTGACAGAGTGGCCTTTCATGCTATATAATATTAAACGACTGATAAATATAATTATAAATCAGTGCGAGCACACCAGCTCCAAAAATCACAACGAAATAACAGAACATAAAGTAAATTAAAACAGCAAAGCTTTACATACCTCGATGTATTTTTCTAAGGCACTCGATTATGTAAATTTTCGGCGAACAATCAGCATTTTCTTTGCATTTGCTTGACGAAAACCATGGAAGAACACGTGCACACGATTGAAACATGCACACGTTTCACCGACAACGGACACAAATTTTAAGCTATATGATAGTTGCATGCCATATATGGCATGCAACAAAAAAAGTTATATTGAATTAATAAAAATAATGCCTTATGCAGTACTATAACTTATATTAACATTTTATATATTATGAGTCTTTCAACGTCAAAAGTAATAACTCATCTCATTGACTGATGTTGAGATTATTATGTAAAACTGTGGGACCACACAAAAATGTAAGTTACTCTGTAGGTTGGAGAGAAACATCAACCGAACAGTGAACACTGTACTAATTTTGCAATAGTACAGTAGCAATGGCATATATTTGAATTTACAAAGTAACACACTCCTGTAACAAAACTTACATGGATGTGTATTTCTTTATTTTCTGAAACAACCTTCAAGGCAAATCTGTTAGAGAAAATAATTGTAATGGTGCATAATTGCATACAGTAGCATACACATTTGAACATTATACAGTACAACATACCATTTTCTTTATGTAAAAACAAAATTATCCTCTCTTTTGTCTTTGAGATCAACAATACCATCACATTGAACTTCACAACTAGAGAAATCCATTGCTTCACAATTTTCTTCTCTTTCAACATCTTCCATAGGCTGATCTGTAGTTAACAGTGTGTCAAAATCGTTCACACAATTGTCAATGCTATGTGAGAGTTTTGGGATTTCAGTACTTTCACACACATCCAGTAACAGTGTATCACAAGGATAATCCATCACTTCACTAATGCTTTCAGGGTTGCAATCTGTAGATATACATACCAACAGAGTTTCAGAGGAGAACTTAGAACTGCAAATGGAATCCATGAGAATTTGAAAGTTGCTTTGCAAGAAAACACTACTTTGTAATGCCTTGTATCAACTAACAGTGCACTTTGTCTATGTTCTCGGAAGTTTTTATCTGAGAATAATTGAACAGCCACTGCAGATACCTTGTTAAAGAACTCTAAAACAGAATCAGTTGTGTATGTTTTACCACCTTTGTCATCCATTGTAATGTGTTCTAAGCTTTCTGGATAGTTTGTGTTACTCAAAACATTAGTTTTATTATCTTTCATCAAATCAAGCAAGACCTTTATACGATGATTAAGGGCAACTTTCTGGACACAATTCGGTGATATTGATCCTTTATGAATTAAACATTCTACAAAGCATGTGTTGTCCTCTGACGAATCTGAGACACCTGAAACAACGACTGAGCGATCATCTATTCCACTTGTTATTAATGACAGTATTAATACTGATTGATTCAAATTCGACTTTCAACCAAACACTTCGTCTACCCCAAAGAAAACTTCTTTTACCACCTACAAATCAAACTTCTCATGCTGTTCGCGTCGATACGGCGAGTGTCGTTTTAAATCAAGCATCTGAAAGTGAGGACACTGTAGTTTCAATAAGAGTCCAATGGAAAAGCCAAACAAGCAATAAAATTTTACCTGCCGATCTTTGCTCTCTTGGAAAAATGATGTGTCGCGGTACATATGCTCAAATTGCCAGGGCAGCTTGGAAACATGCAAAAGTCCAAGAACAATTGATTTTATTATTTTTAAAGGAGATCGATAAAGTATGTTCTAATTTATGTGCTTCAAAATATCCAAGTATTTTGCATTTGACAGACAAGGAGAACATTCTTGAGTTTACTCCAAAAAAGTTTGAGAAAGAATTAAAGGAACGTACAGCACTGTTACAAAGTGTTTTGTCGACTGCTTCAGTATGCAGAAGAAGATCAAATACATCTACTTCTGATCTTTACTGCATCCCAGCTGTTTGTATGGCATCAGCAGTCTGTCTAAAGAATAGATGTCCCCAAATGACAGCAGTACAGCTTTTGAATACCATATTTATTCAGCATTCAGGTTTGATGGTAAGTTGATACACAGATGATATAGTTATGTATCTTACTCTATATGTATTTATAAGGGCTCAATTCTGAAGTTGATGTGTACTATGAAATTTCAAAGTAGTCCATTGTCTGGTGTGATGCCCATGCCATTTTATTATATAGTTTCATCATGTTTGTTCAAACTCACCCCCCCCCCCCCCAGTTCGGAGGGGGTAAAAATTTGTTTGTGACAATTGTAAGTGTATTAGGACATCCAAAGGGGCAGGGGGTTAAACCCATGAAGCAGCAATGCACCCAAATGCACCATACTTTATTCTTTTACCTTGTCTAACACCAAATTATTATACTCATCAAAGGGAGAGTCTTGCACTTTAATTAATGGGTTAACTTTCACTTTCATATGTGGGGGGAAGTATGGATCTTTACCAGAATGACCCTGTTGCTGCCATAGCAACAGTTAATTAGAAATTTAAATTTGTTCAGTATATATATTGTAATTCAAAATTTTTAGGTTAGTCTTGACAACGTTTTTAACCGTTTAAAACTAAGGTTAAAATATAAATAAAAATGCTTTTAAAACAAGTCGAGGAATGGTGAATGTATTTGTTTATTATATCCATGTCCTTAATATCATTTAATTGTACGGACAGACCCAATGTGAAAACAACTGAATTTAATGCATTTATTATTTTAGTCGACTCTGTGTCGACTCAGGGTTCGTCAGTTGGCTGTGTCCCATACCTTCTTGTACAAGAAATTAAATGAATATGGGGAAAAACACAATGAAAAAATTCTGGAAAAGGTTGTTATTGAAGGAAAGAGATTGAAAGCAGAAATCGCTCAGAAAAATGACGAGATTGATGAAAGAGATAGCGGGATTGTGCATGCAGCTACAGAGGCAACTGAACCAGACATTGATAAATTGTTTTTGATAACTTTGACTTTAAACAAAATGTGCATCATATGACTGAAACACATCAAAATATTGATAATCATTGGGTCAGTCATATGTGCACAGAAAACAGAGTATCTGGCTATTCTGGCAATCATTTATCAACAGTGCGACCAAAGAATTCTGCCATCCTCGATCTTGACAATGGAAAGTTTATCCCCAGCAAAGAAGAACACATGCTGCAGAGACAAGATTATTCTACTATTGTGTCACAAATTATTGTGAGGAACATTGTTTGCCTACACTTTCTAAGTCAGTGTGCTCCACAGCATATCAAGCACCAGTATCAATCAGAATTGACGAAGAAAACAGAAACAGTAAGCTTACCTTTCCAAATGTATTATTTAATTTATTCAAACTGATTATCTTGAGTAAGCAGGCAAGACTAAAAATGACTTGACCCACTGTGAATTTTTTTCAATTTCCCCTGATTACTGGGAATGAAAATTTTGGAAAACAGTACTACCATACATGCCAACTCAAATGATTCCTTTGGTGTTCAAAACAATCAGAAAATTGGATCATCTTAACTTCATTATACATTTAACCCCTTAGTGTGGCTCAATGCACAATACTTTAATATTTAACTCTGTCTAATGTCAGATGATTTTATATTTGACAATTGGAAAGTGCTGGTACACAGTGGATTAATCATACTATCTTATAACATTGTAAAGTGATTTAGGTTTCAAATGCCACTCAATTTAAATCATAGACAATCCAGAAGACATGTTTCATGTTTAATTTTCCTATTTGAACCTATTTTAAGTTAACTTGGGCATCTATGATAAATCATTACAGATAATCTGAATATCCTGAATTCTGAATAAAATTTCCATTTTATTGGCAAGAATTACGAGAAAAGATTTACAAACAGACGGAAAAAAAAAGTGTATTATTATTGCACTAATTATTGTACAAAATACAAACAGCAAAATTTGCTTGTGAACGCATTTTTAAGCCGGTTTAGTGAAATTTGTTGTGCGAATCTTTTTTATTATAAGCTTTCTGGATTTTTAACAAATTCATTTCAATTTTGACAATAAAAAATTCACCGGTCATGCATGTCCGGTAAGAGACAGTATTTGCCGGTCAAAATGAAAAAAACTACCGGACAATGACCGGTGACCGGCACTTATTTCGAGGCCTGACTGTAACACTTGCATATTCTTTGAATTTTGTTGTTTTAGGTTGCATTCGACTATTTCTACCATCCAGGTGCTACCTCTGATCAATGTACCCTGTTTTCAGACCGGAATTTGATCAACAGAAATGTGGTTGAAGAAGTCAAGAATAAGTTTAGTGCCTGCAAACAATTCTTCAACGTGGAGATTGAGGCAAGAATCGTTGCAACCTGCAGCATTAAATATCTTAGAGATAAATACTATTGATGATAAACCTGCTGAAAATTTCGTGCCACCTTCTCTAGAAACAGCTTCTTTGGCTACCAAAAGGGGGTTACGGTTCACTAGTCCGAAGGTTCACTAGTCCGAAGGTTCACTAGTCCGAAGGTTCACTAGTCCGAAGGTTCACTACTCCGAAGGTTCACTACTCCGAAGGTTCACTACTCCGAAGGTTCACTACTCCGAAGGTTCACTATAGCTAGTCCAAAACATACGCTGGTTTTGAATTACAATTACGTGTTAAACTTGGCTGCTTCGCAGTTAAGCATTTTTCGTACCTGCATA